GCTCTGTGGCTCAAGTGCTAGCCTTGAGCTGAAGAGCTGAGGGACAGCGCCCAGGCCCAGAGGTCAAGCCCCACAACCAACCAAAAAAAACAAAACCATAAGCCAGATGCCAGTGCTCTCGCCTGTGACCATAGCTACTCAGGAGGCTAAGATCTGAGGATCATGGTTCAAAGCCAGCCAGGGGAGGAAAGACCATTAGATTTTTACCTCCAATTAAACACCAAAAAAACTGGAAGTGGAGCTATGGCTCAAGTGGTAGAGTGTTATCCTTGCCCACAAAAGCTTAGGGACAGCTCCCAGGCCTGAGTTTAAGTCCCAGGACTGGCACTAAAGAAACAAATAAACAGCATCAAAACAAGGATAAAATTTTATTTTAATATCCAATGAATTCTGTAACATAGAATGCAAATTTTTACTTAAAAAATATTTGTCATTCCCCTTTATTGATAACACAAGTGAGATACTTATTTTAAACATTTAACTTATCTTAAGATTTAATGCCTTTAGTCAGCTACAGTGTGGTCCAGAAATTAAAATATACAAAATAGTTTTAGAAACACAGGTATTTCTACTTGCTGGAACACCTATAAAATCATACAAAGATACATATTTCTTTTTAAAATAAAGACTTTGAAAATGAAACCAGCTTATTTATTTTTACCAAGATATGACAAAAATCTCTTATGCAAAACAAAAATTGACACAGAAATATAATACTTACAAGTTACTTTTCATGTTTTAAAAATCACATCAGAAAATGGGCACTGATGACTCACACCTATAATCCTAGCTACTCATGAGGCTGAGATCTGAGGATCATGGTTCAGAGCCAGCCTGGGCAGTAAAGTCCATTAGACATTTTTTTTTTTCCAGTGGTGGTGGTGGTGGTGGGCGGCTTGAACTCTGGGCCTGGGTGCTGTTCCTGAGCTCTTCAGCTCAAGGCTACCACTCTACCTACCACTTGAGCCATAGTACCATTTCCGGTTTTCTGGTGGTTAACTGGAGATAAGAGTCTCCCGGACATTCCGGTCCAGGATGGCTTTGAATGGCAAATTCTCAGATCTAGCCTCCTGAGTAGCTAGGATTATAGGCATGAGCCACTGGCACCCAGCCCATGACACTCTTATATCCAATTAACCACCAGAAAACAGGGAATAAAACTGTGTCTCAAAGTAGTATAGCAGTAGCCTTGAGCACAAAATCTCAGGGACAGCACCTTAGCCCTGAGTTCAAGCCTCACAAATGACAAAAGAGGAAGAGGAGGAGGAGGACGAAAAGGTGGTAGAGGAGAAGGAGGAAGAGGAGAGGAGGAGGAGGAAATAATAATAATCACATCAGAGCTGGGTCACCCGTGGCCCATGCCTGTAATCAATCCTAGCTACTCAGAAGGATAGGAGTTAAAAGCCAGCCCAGACAGGAAAGTCTATGAGACTCTTGCCTTCAATAAACCACCAAAATGCCAGAAACGGTAGCGCACCAGCCTTAAGCAAATAAAAAGCTTAGGGTCAGCATCCAGGCCCTGGGTTGGACATACACGGATGTACACACATACACATTCACATCAATTCTATAAAATCTTTCTTGTTGATGTTGAGATTTTTTGTTTGCTTTTTGGTTTTTGCCAGTTCTAGATGCTTAAGTGCAGAGCCTCTTGCTCTCACTTAGATTTTTGTTCACAGCTGGTAGCTTAACTACTTGAGCCATACTTCCAAATTTGGCATTTTGCTGGTTAATTGGAAATACTCAGCCTTCTAAGTAGCTAGGATTACAGCTATCTGGCCTAAACCACTATTTTTTTTTTCTTGGTGGTTGTGAGGCTTGAATCCAGGGCCTGGGCACTGACCTTGAGCTTCTTTTGCTCAATGCTAGTAGCACTCTACCACTTGAGCCACAGTACCACTTCTGGCTTTTTCTGTTTATCTGGTACTGAGAAATAGAAGCCAAGGCCTCATGCATGCTACTCAAGCAAGCTACCACTAAGCTACATTTCCAGCTTACCTAAACCACTATTTCTAAAGATAGGACAATAATTAGATCTTAATCTTAAGTAGTTTTCTCATATAAGGCTAACAAATCATATGTTGTATTTTTACTTGTTTATAGTATACAAAATTACTTTACATGGAAGAACTTCTCATATTACAACATAATTCCTCAGAAATATTTTTTGATACTCAAATATACATCAATTGATATTTCATAGTCCACTTAAATATTCTAGTATATACCAAATCATTTAACAAAACATACCTACAGAGTAACTTTTTAAGAGCAAAGATATTAAATACTTATTACTGTCTTTGGGAAATTCACACTGACCTCTAATAACAGATGTAAAACACTCATACTACCTGGCTAATAACACAGAGCAAAACATGACACTTTTTTACTTTTTAAATTGATACTTTTTAAATACATCTTTTTTTTTACAAAAAAATTAAAAGGGTTTGGGGTATATCAGTGGTACAGTGCTTGCACATGTTAGTACAAAGTCCCCAAGTTCAATGCCCAGCATGGTAAAAAAATTAAAATAAAAAACTTTAAAAATGAAGGTAAATTTGCTTGTTCTTATATCCAATGAAAAAGAAATAGGAGGCAAAAAAAAAGTAATACTTCAATGCTGGATATGTTTCATAGCACTTAAAATTTCAGTTCTCATCATTTTGCTGCAGTGTAACAGGATTCTGTTAATACTAAACTGATATTCAGGGCCAGAGATGACATTCAGAGGTTAACCACTTGCCTAGCATAAGCAAGGCCCTGGGTTTAATCCCCCCAATGTTACACACACACACACACACACACACAACCCCCCCAATGTTACACACACACACACACACACACACACCATTGAAAAATTGTAATTTTAAGGGCTGAGGATTTAGTTCACTGGCAGAGTGTGCGCTTAACATGCATTAAGCCCTAGTACAGATTCCTGGTATTATATTGGGAAAAAATAAATAAAAAACAGGCACTGGCTGGGCACTGGTGGCTCATGCCTATAATCCTAGCTACTCAGGAGGCTGACATCTGCAGCCTAGGCAGGAAATTCCTCCAATTAACCACCAGGAAACTGGAAATGGCACTGTGGCTCAAAGTGGTAGAGCACTAACCCTGAGTTACAGAGCTAAGGGACATTGCACAGGACCAGAATTTAAGACCCACGGCCAACACACACACACACAGACACACAGACACACACACACACACACACACACAGATCCCAGTGGCTTGTGCCTATAATCCTACCTACTTAGGAGGCTGAGAATCAGGATTTTTGTTCAAAGCCAGCCTGGCCAGAAAAGTCCATGAGATTCTTACCTTCAATTAACCAGCAAAAAGCTGGAACTAGAGCTGTGGCTCAAGTGGCAGAGCAAGAAAAAAAAAAGAAAGAAAGAAAAGAAAAAAAAGAAAGAGATAGTCCAGGTGCCAGTGGCTCACACCTATAATCGAGCTACTCAGAGGCTGAGATTTGAGAATCTTGGTTTGAAACCAGCCGGGGCAGAAAAGTCCCCATGAGATTCTTTTTTTTTTTTGGCCAGTTGTGGACACTGTCCCTCAGCTCTTCAGCTCAAGGCTAGTGCTCTACAATTTCAGCCACAGTGTGCCACTTCTGGCTTTTTCTGCTTATGTGGTGCTGAGGAATCGAACCCAGGGCCTCATGCATGCAAGGCAAGAATTCTACCACTGAGCCACCTTCCCAGCCCTCCCCAGCCCCATGAGATTCTTCTCTCCAATTAACCACTCAAAAAACAGAAGTGGTGCTGTGGCTCAAGTGGCAGAGCACTAGCCTTGAGCACAAAGAGGCTTAGGGACAGCACACAGGCCCTGAGTTCAAGCCCCATAACCACCAAAAAAAAGAAAAAAAGAAAGTCAAACTGAATTACAGACTGCAGATATAACTCAGTGGTGCACACGTGCTTAGCATGTGTAAGGCTAACACAGTCCATCCCTCCAAAAATCATTACAATGAAAAGTTTGGAAAAATGATAAAGCTAATGTTATTAATTTTTTGTTCATGTGGTACCAAGGAATTAAACCCAGGGCCTGTGCATGCTCAGCAAGAACTCTACCACTAAGCCACATTACCAGCCCTAATAGCAACCTCTTGAACCTCATTATAAAATACCTTCTGGTTCTAAATAAAACTTGAAGACAGTTTCAAGTAACCTAACTAACCAGCATTAGCGTAAGACTTATTTTCAGTGTTAAAAGGCATAATGTTTTACATTAAAACATATGTTACAAGCCGGGTGCCAGCGGCTTATACCTATAATCCTACCTACTCAGAAGGCTGAGATCTGAGGATCGAGGTTCAAAGCCAGCCCAGGCAGGAAAGTCCAAGAGACTCTTATTTCCAATAAACCACCAGAAAACCAGAAGTGACGCTGTAGCTCAAGTGGTAGAGCGCTCGCCTTGAGCTGAAGAGCTGAGGGACAGTGCTCAGGCCCAGAGTTCAAGCCCCATAATCGATAATAAAAAAAACAACATATGTTACAAACACATTTTATATGTTCGTATTTAAAAAGAAAAAAAGTAATGCTAGGCATAGTGGAGAACAACTGTAATCCCAGGATTTAGGAAGCTCAAGCAAGAGGATCAAGAGTACTAGTCCAGCCTGGACTGTATCTGAAGACTTTGTGATCTCAAAAGACAAGCCAGCAAGCAAGCAAACAAAGAAAATCAAACAAAAAACAAGTACTAAATACCAAATACCACGGTTCCTAGGATAGGGTTGATATTCCTCTACAAGTAATGTTACCCCACAATTATTTTTATACTTTGTTTTTATTTTGCCATCTGGGAGGTTATTGAGGAAAAGAAACCACAAACCATGATTTTTTTTTTTCTTTTGGGTTGTGGGGCTTGAACTTGGGGGCATGGGTGCTATCCCTGAGTTCTTTTTGCTCAAGGCTAGCACTCTACTATTTTGAGCCACAGCTCCACTTCCGGTTTTCTGGTGATTAATTGGAGATAAGAGTCTTACAGCCTTTCTTGCCTTTTTTTTTTTAGTTGAGGTGAAAAAACTGTTTCATAAGTTCATATGTTGTAAAAGCCACTGCTTGAGAGGGAATACAGCGGATGTAGTTAAGAGATAAGCCACGGTACAATCCTTTTCGAATTCCATGGTGTCCATAGACGTACTTCATAGTCTCCCGCATGGTACTGAAAGACAAAGGTTAAATGATAGCATCACTAGACTGGTCAGGAAAAGACAATTTCAGGATCCAAGGCAGTATTTTGTTTTTTATTTTATTTTATTTTTTGTCAGCCATGGGGCTTGAGCTCTGGGCCTGGACATTGCCCTCAGCAATTCAGCTCAAGGCTACCATTCTACCACTTGAGCCACAGCACCACTTCTGGTTTTCTGGTGGTTTACTGAAGAGTCCCATGAACTTTCCTGCCCAGGCAGACTTGGAACCGTGATCCTCAGATCTCAGCCTCCTAAGTAACTAGGATTACAGGCATGAGCCACCAACACTCAGCTCCATGGCAGTATTTTTGAAAGATGCTATAACACCATCTTGAAAAGGTTTTGGAAGATAGGTATTACAACAAGCTAAAAAATCACAAGGAGGGCTGGGAAGGTGGCTCAGTGGTAGAGCGCTTGCCTTGCATGCATGAGGCCCTGGGTTCGATTCCTCAGCACCACATAAGCAGAAAAAAACCAGAAGTGGCGCGGTGGCTCAAGTGGTAGAGTGCTAGCCTTGAGCTGAAGAGCTGAGGGACAGTGTCCAGGTGAGGGACAGTGCCCAGGCCCAGAGTTCAAGCCCCATGACTGACAAAAAAAAAACAAAACACAATGAAACAGCAAATTGTTCCAAGCAAATACAGACATTTGGGGCTCATAATTACTTCCTCTAAAAATTTTGTCCATAATGTTTTCTGATAGCACTATTCCATGGTTTAGATTTAACAAATGAAGACCATTTCAGAGTTGTTTCTTTTCCTTACAGATCAACATCCTATACTTTGTCATAGTCCCCTCTCCATAGGGAATCTGGATGAAATTTTCAAAATAGTATTTTGAGTGAACAAGGCAATCCAAGGTCCTAAACATTTTGCTTTTCTCTTAAGGAACAGAAAACTGCTATGGTTTGACTCTGGAATGTGTCCCAAAGATCCCTAAGTTGAAGGGCTTGATCTTCACCCTTTTATTTTTCATGATTGAGGGACAGTACAGCCTTGAAGAGGAGGGGCCTAGTGAAAGGTCTCTGGAGATGTGAATTTGGAGAAATATGAGGCTGCGGCCCCTTTCTTACTTTCTCTTTCCTCTCCTAGCCATGAAGTAAGTGGTTTTTGCTTTGCCCCAATCTCATGCCATGATTTGCAGCCTCACCACAGGCTCAAAACTAACAGAGCCAACTGATCATAGACTGAAGCCTCTGGGTCAAAACAAAACCCCTTTCTCTTTATAAGCTGACAATCTTAAGCATTGGTTACACTGACAGGAAGCTGACTAACACAAACACAAAGACTAGGAAGATGGCTCAGTATAAAGTACTTGCCTAGCATGCATGAAGCCCTGGATTGGATTCCTCAGTACCACGCAAATAGAAAAAGCTGGGAAGTGGTAGAGTGCTAGCCTTGAGCAAAAGAAGCTCAGGAACAGTGCCCAGGCCCTGAGTTTAAGCCCTGGGACTGGCACATGCACACACACACACACGCACGCACACGCACACAATGATGCTAAATTTCTTGTTTGTTTTTTGGGGTCTGGTCGTGGGGCCTGAACTCTGGGCCTGGGCACTGTCCCTCAGCTCTTCAGCTCAAGGCTAGTGCTCTAC